ATTCTGTGTTTTTCTGTCAATATGGGGTGCTGTGTGTACATTAATGAGGAAAAAAATGAACTTAAATGATTTTAGCATATGGCTGCAATATAACAAAGAGTGAAAAATTTAAGGGGGTCTGAATACTTTTCGTACCCACTGTATATACACTAACTACATTCATATGGATCCATAGGTTACAAGTTAGCTACAGTCAGCTAAGGTTATCCATCCTGAATTACCACAGTTAGTGCAGTGAAATCTAAATGATTTAAGAAACATTTTAGCCAAACAAAACAAAAATGTATGCAGGTAAATACAGTGTCTCCCTCCCAAAATGGTGACCCGTCCCCACATTCAACACAATGTGACGAACCTTCACATGATCTATTCCCTCCTTCAAAATGATTTAGAAATACAAAACTCAGTCTTAGTGGTTAATTCATTCCTTAACACAATACTAAATGTCCTTATGTAATGTTAAGGCCAATAGATCCAAAGGTATTTATTGTATCAGTGCAGGGAATGTTGTGTTTATTTGATATCAGACAGCAGAGGGGTAACTGAAAGTGAGTGATGCATTAAAGGTCCCCAGGGCAATTTGAAAGCTGGAACAAGTGCAGTTACATGGTCAGCATCATAGACCTGTTGGAATCAAATTTATAAAATGTACTTCAGAATGTGTAGGACTGTGTGAGCTTGCAGAATGCACTAATCTGAAATCTGTCTCAGAAAAAAAAACTGTCAAATTTTGGCTAAATAGCTGTGATGGACCAGATAAACTCATTAAACACCCATGGAGCACAGGTACTACTTCTTTTTAGAAATGACATGATAAAGGAGGGGTATTACAGAAAACAAGATTTGCCTTGTCTTTGGGGATTTTTGCTGTCAGAGATGTTATTTAAGTAGAAGTTGGCACCCCTCACTGTTGATAAAGAAAGAGTAAGAAAAGACCCCTTTGAACTGCTATTTGGTAATACAGTATGTCACAACACTCCAAGAACCTCTTGTGAAATCATTGCTTCACACAGCTTTCAGTGGTGTTGATTATTTCATAAGATTTTTCAGAGTGATTGTGTTGTAGAATTCACACTGCTTGTCCTCACTGGGTCAGTTTTAGGGGGTCATACATTCCACACTCTAGCTATGTGACCATCACATAAATGAATCATTCTCACCCTTTTCCTTGCACAAGTCTAATCGTTTTGTTTTAAGGCTAAATAAATAATTGACATACAATCCAAAAGATACCTGACATCTAAGGGCTGACAGAGACAGTTATGGGTTTTTAAGTAATAAAGTTAATACAGTAGGTTGATTCAGCAGAAAAAAACTAGTCGTTCCTCTTAAAGACTCAATTAAAGATGTCTTTAAGATATGAGCCTATCACAACTATAGATAGAAATAGTTTGTGACAGCTCACCATGTAGCATCCGAGGGCGTTTCCTGAGACACTGATCTCAACTTACAATAGCCACTGTATGACACCATGACTTCAGTGCAATGCGTGACCTTTGGCTTATGTCTGTCTCACATTGCAGTCTGTGTATTTTCACTTCAAGCTAAGCTGAACAAGCTTGTGTCGGAAGCGCCGCTAAAGCCTCTGATGTTATTTTAGTGTTGTGTCGGTCTCTCTGACATTTTCTTTTCTCTACTGCAGTGTGCAGATTTCTTTTACCGAATGGATGACAAAGAAAAAGAAACAAAGACACACGGCGTTGCAGGGCATAAGATCAAGTTTAATGGCAACACACTGCAAAAACTTTGATCACTTCAAACATGTCATTCAGTGCTCCATTCTGCTTGTGAGGTTGTCATAACAGTGCATTAAAATGTTGTGTTGTGCTACAGCAATAATGTGGGTTTACATACAGGAATAAACATCAAATGCAGTGTGCAATAGTAAGGAGGCTGGTGTTCTCTGGTGATAAATATTACTTTTACAGCTTTCCTCTTGTTTTGTCCATGGATCAGCATCCATGTCAATATACTGTTTATAGAAGGTAGTCAGGTTCATGTTTCTTTACGCATTAAGGCAACTTCACACAACCATGTCTTGCTTTTGCATCTCATAAACAAATTTCCATTTGTATATCAGGTCTCTTTAATGTCCCACTTTGGTAATAACCTTGACTACACTGGCAGGATCCATCCATCCATTGTCTATGTTGCTTATCCTGCAGCATATCCTGCAGTCCTGCAGCGACTGGTCACGAGATGGCCAGTCACAGCTGACACTGGGCGAGAGGTGAGGTACACCCCGGACAGATTCGCAGCACTGGCACATAGCACAGAGAACCACTCACACTTACATTCAAACCTACGAACAACTTAAGAGTCACCAGTCATCCTAACCTGAATGTCTGTGGTTTGTAGGAGGAAGCTGAAACCCACACAGACATGGGAGAACGTACGAACTGCACACAGAAAGGCCCCGGTCGGCCACCAGGATCACGCCCCAAACCTTTCTGTTGTGAGACAACAGTGCCCCCCCCAAAAAACAAGTGCATTATAGTATTGATTGAATAAATCAGGTTATAACACCACATACACATTTCCACATGACAAGAAAAAGTAATTAAATATCTTCTCTGTTATTATACAGTGATTTAATACTAGAGTGAACACATTTTTATTTTATTATTTATATTTTCTCTTTGCAATTTGACTTTACATGGAAATAAACTACCCAAAATGCCTTTCATTTGATGAAAATGTATATTAATCAGCAAACTCACAGTGATATACAACTTGAACAGGAAACGTGTGTTTTTAATCTGATGGCTTGGTTTGGAGTCATGAAAAGGCACTTAACTTGGAAGTAGAGCAGAATAAACCTTTGTGGATTAATCACAAACGGTGCAAGACCAGAAGCAGTCCAATGAAGAAGAGGGTACTGGGTTCCTGCATCACTATTGAGAGGGAGACAACCCCACTCAGGAAGATGATGGATGGCATCAGACTCCTGGTTATACTGTGCTCAGGCTGGGGCTCGGAAATATCTGAAGATGTGTCTGGTAAATTCTCTAATGTGTCAGGGGAAATCTGGGGAGCATCTTCCTTGTCTTCCTGGGTTGAGACAGAATGAAGAGCTAGGTTCCGGGTCTGCTCAATGACACCTGCACTCCCCAAGATTTTCTCTGTGATTTCAGGTGATGGTGGAACTTCACCTGCTTCTCCTAGAAATGCCTGACTCTCTTCCTGGTTCTGGGTCTCCTCAATGAAACCTGAACTCACAGAGAATGCCTCAGTGAGTTCAAGTGATAGTGGAGCTTCACCATCTTCTCCTAGAAATGCCTGACTCTCTGCCTGGTTCTGGGTTTCCTCAGTTACACCTGAAACCACTGAGGCACTCTCTGTGAGTTCAGGTGATCGAGCTTCACTTTCTTCTCCTAGAAATGCCTGACTCTCTGCCTGGTTCTGGGTTTCCTCAGTTACACCTGAAACCACTGAGGCACTCTCTGTGAGTTCAGGTGATCGAGCTTCACTTTCTTCTCCTAGAAATGCCTGACTCTCTGCCTGGTTCTGGGTTTCCTCAGTTACACCTGAAACCACTGAGGCACTCTCTGTGAGTTCAGGTGATCGAGCTTCACTTTCTTCTCCTAGAAATGCCTGACTCTCTGCCTGGTTCTGGGTTTCCTCAGTTACACCTGAAACCACTGAGGCACTCTCTGTGAGTTCAGGTGATCGAGCTTCACTTTCTTCTCCTAGAAATGCCTGACTCTCTGCCTGGTTCTGGGTTTCCTCAGTTACACCTGAAACCACTGAGGCACTCTCTGTGAGTTCAGGTGATCGAGCTTCACTTTCTTCTCCTAGAAATGCCTGACTCTCTGCCTGGTTCTGGGTTTCCTCAGTTACACCTGAAACCACTGAGGCACTCTCTGTGAGTTCAGGTGATCGAGCTTCACTTTCTTCTCCTAGAAATGCCTGACTCTCAGCCACAGGAGACAAGAGTCCAGGCATACTGCCTTCATGATGCTGTGCAAACCTGGTGAAACCTTCTGATAATCCTGCAGCAACTTCACACAATCCCACAGCAGCCTCTGGCTCAGTGCCCTGAGCTGCACTAGGAGCAGAGACACACTCAGTGGGCAGTTCAAGACAAGAGCAACTTGATTTCTCCTCTCCTGATGGCCACAGATCCATCTCTGTGGTAGGGAGATGTATGCATGAGCCCTCTGAAGAAGGGATTTGCTCTCCACCAGCCAGAGAGTCGTCTGATTTCAGGCTTGACTCCTGTGGTAGAGAAGGCAGCATTGCAGAGAGACTACTGTCTATGGGCTGCTCTGACGTCTGGTTGCCTAATTCACAGAGGAGTCTGGGTAAGGGCTGTGACTTTGACTGGACTGGTTCACTGGCACACAGTACAAGGGATGACTTAGTTTGAAGTGTGGTTTCAGGAGACATACAAGGGACATGTTCACCTGGGGATACAGTTTGAGTAGACAGTGTCCCATCAACAGATGGAAACTCTTGGTTGGGTGGGACAGAAGGACCAGATGGGTGAACTGCAATCTGTTAAAGTAAAACAGTGAGACAACAGTGACAGGTAGGAGAGTAGAAAGACAAAGAGGAGCAATTTATATTCTGCATTAATGTTGTACAGAGACAGAAGAAAAGCATTTTACTGCATATCAATGCTTTTCTGTGAAACGGATCCCATGCTGACACTGTAGTTGTGAGGCAATGCAAACAAAAGAGAAACAGAATGATGGGATTGACTGACATTTTTTCAAATGCCTTGACTTCCCCTGTATGAGCACAAAATAAATAGATAAAGAGAATGTCCAAAGATGCTTTGTTTAACTGAAGTCCATACAGCGCACGGGCATCCAAGGAGGGGAGATATTTTAATCCACAAATTTACCTACTGTACATGTTTTCATGACCGGTTTTCCGGGTAGTGGAACTAATGCTGTTGCTAAATAATTTTTATTTTCACTTCAAAACAAAAAGCAGCTTTATGGCTGCAGTGACAAACATCCAAGGTCAAATCAAAATAAAATCATGACAGTATAAATCCAAAAGACAGATAACAGAAACAGCACCCAGAAGATCAAGTGCAAGAGACACATAAACCTCGGAGAAGCTACACGGAAATGTTATCCAGTGTAGACCTTAACTACACATAGACAAATATTAAGTTGTGCTAATGTGTTAAGCTTTTAACATCATATTCTATGTTGATATAATGTTTCTAGATGAAACTTAAAATGACAAAATCACAACAATCCTGAGAACAACCTAGATCTATATTTCTGTGTGCTGCAGCTTTTGCTATTGGAATTCAATGATTCATAAATTTACAGTAAACACTTTCCAAGACGTCTGCTTTCGGGTTGACCAAAGACATCGCTCTGTTTAAATCTCAGTGAAAAATCTATTAAGAAATCACTTGAAAGCACCACAAAACAGGAAGCAAAAGGGAAACCAACCCATTGCACAGAAGTGAATACTCAGCAAGCAAATAATTAAAACAGCAGATACTGGCAATTAAACTGATTAATGATGATAACTTTAAAGTTATAACACAAAACTCAAAGGATTAATTTATCAGGAATTACGACATTTGAGTCTTTAGCTTCTGATTACTGAATGCTGTCCAAAGAAAAACATATAACAACATGGGGGGAGCTGACAGTTATACAGTAGTTGACTAATTAGCCTTTAATTAAGTGAAGAGAGCATGCATGTGAATACTGATGTAAAACAAACACAAATGAGCTGGATGAGTACACAACTGACAGATAAATACCACATATTATTCTGTTATTCTGTTAGGAGATGGGACATCATAATGTTTTTTTGACTGACTCTGGCTTCTCTGAAGTAGTTTAATCAGTTGTATGCAGACCAACAGTAACTTCCTCCTGCTTCTGAAATGCATGTTTTATTTATGGAACTGTTCCAGAAACAACTTATGTTTGTCACGATGCTGATCCTGTGGTGATATTAAGTTGCTCTGTTGTTTTGCCAGGAGTAAGCTCTTGTTTATACCGTAAATAGGAGACACTTAGTTTATCATAGAGACTGAAAGGAGTCAGCCTGGCTCTAATGAAACCGCCTACTGTAATCTTTTCTTGTAAACTTAATATAAATATACAGTATCTGTTGTGTTAATTTATATTAGAGTATATATTTAAACATTTCTGACCATTGTAGAACTTATAAACATGAGTTGTTCTTTCAACTTTTTACAAAAACAAAACTAGCTGGCTTCCCAGCATGCAGTGTTTGAGAGTTGAAACTCTCCGGAGACTTTTTTGCAGCTTGAAGAGCCCGTTCATGGTGGAAGGTTGTGTTTCTGTAATATATGTTAAAGTAAGTCATGGTTGTTTCTTGTCATAATAATAAAAACAGTTCACACCATGATAAAGGTTATAATTTAATGGTCACTGCATGGGAGCAGTTGTTGTCACTGCGTTTGCATTGTGTTTGCCATCTTCGTGTGTCTTGTGAACTAAAGTACATTACATGGAAAATAAATCACCTGTTGTAATTAGCTCTTCATTTCTGTGGCTGCTTGGGACTCGAGGGAGTTGAGGTTTAGTGTTGGATACAGCTATCATTATTTTATCTTCAGTCATATATTTTTTACCTAAACTGATTTTACCCATGTTTTCAAGGCAGCAAGGGAACATATGCTCCTAAGTTTAACCAGCTTGAAATGTACAAATGATACAAATAAATGTTAATTACTGTACTCTGGACAGAGCCATGGTTCTGATTTCCCCTGTTTCCAGTCTTTATGCTAAGCTAAGCTGTCTCCTGGCCTTGGGTCATATTTAATGAACAAAGTGGGATCAATCTGCTTATCTAACACATGAAAGCAAACAAGGGTATCTCCCAAAATGTTGACCTATTTCTTTAAAATCACAGTGGGATTTAAACTGTGCCTCTCTTCTAAGTGTGCACTGTGTGATTCAAGAAAATGAGTTTCAGTGACATAATTGAACATAAATTCATTTCCAGCACAAGAACAGTCGACTTCAGTACAATGATCACAAATAATGTAATAAGAAATGGTTACACATGGTGTGAATGAATATTAGTGTTCTGAGTCACTTAAACTGAAAAATACACGGATTCAAATTGAACATGGAGAAATCCAAACGGTACAAGAACATGAACAGCATGCACCATGATATGACCACAATAAGAAGCCGATAAGTTAAGTAGCATGTGATCGTGCTACAGCGCTGAGAAGTGAGACATTACCTAAGTTGTTGCTGAAGCTTCAATGAGCTGTGAACAATACAAACAACCAAGCCAGTGATGGTAAGCTTTAAAAAGAAATGTTTCTGGTTTATTAGACACACAACTTGCACTTTAGCCTGCTTACCTGTTAAATGGGAATGTGTCTGCATGCAAATCAAGATCATTTGAACATAATCCCAGTCATTTCCTAAAAGTGTATCCTCTGTTGGCAAACAAGCCACCAGGCTACAATAGCACATTCCAAATGAGATGGACTGTTTCAAATTTTGCAGGTTTTAGAAAGTTTACTGTATACAGAAGAACCCCGCTGTTAGTTAATGATTTATTCCGATAAAAGCAGTTTCTTTCTTTCCGATTGTCCTCAGTATACCCTTACCTCCACATCAATCTCCGGCTGTATGATGTCTGGGTGGGGGACAGGTGGAGGTCTGATGAGTCCTGACCTCGAGGTCCCTGCTTCTTCTGCTGATGTAAAGCAGATAAATAAGCTGTGAGACCCTGATTAGTCTTTAGAAATGAAAACATATTTCAGCTACAGCATATAAATAATTACAGAAGGGCAACTTCACATGTGATGTTGGGTTTACAAAGAGTGCTACCCAGCCAGTGAAAATGATGTGTGATGTTGTGGCTTTGTCAAGTCTGAGAAAATGGCACTGTCAATTTGGGCAGATACTTAGGAATGCCTCTGTTACAAACTGGACGTTTGTATTATATTAATATGTAAATATTTGTGCCATATTTTTCGGAGGGAGTGAACTGATATGTTGATAGTAATTTTGTATGACAGCCTCCATACTGTACCTTCTTCATTTTCCTGCTCGTCCTCTGAATCAAAAACATCATCCATACTGAAAGAAAAGAGAGACATGTGGGTTATAAGACAATTTAACTACATAAATTTGCTCTCTAAATCTCACAGCCAAACGTCGCTGTGATGTCACAATTGTACATACAAGGCAACTGAAACCTTACACAGAGATCTTAGTAATCAACACTGTAATAATGATGGTTAGAGCCATCGGTTGAGTTGACGCCGCGGAAAGCTGCCTTGGTTCTGTACTGGAAACAAATTCCTTGTGTGTAACATACTTGGCCAAATAAAGGTGATTATTGTTATTATTATTATTATTATTAAGGCACACTGAGAGCAGCAGGAGAAGCTGGTTGTACACCACCATGCACACCTGTTTTAGATCATTAGCCCGATTTTCTGCTGATGCAGTTCAGCTGTTAATGTGCTAAATTAGCCATTTTGATCAAACATGAGGAGACATCTTTTTGTCCTGTGTGTTTGGTAATGTTCTGTTTCTGGCTGAGCGGAGCTCTTTAAAGCTGCACGCCTGAGCGATGACCCACTGCATTTGACTGCTCGTTAAAATGGTTGGAGAGGTGAAAATCACAGAGTGAGAGACTGCTGATTGACGGGAAGGGCCACTGTAAAGTGCACGTACAATATATAGAAGCTGAAATCTTATTTTTATATCAAAGTTGTATCAAATGTGATTGTAGTTACAGTAATTACTGGAGAACACAGCTTATGGAGGTCAATATATTGCTTTGGCTGTGTTGTGTTTCATATGTGTTTTAATCAAACCCTAGACACCAATGGGACAGTTGACGAAATCTAGCCATGGCTCATTAGCTTCTAAATTATGAAGCATTAACCTTTTCTGTAAGAAGACACTTCTGTTGAAAGACGGGAGGCAACTTTACCAAGAATCCTGCATAGGCTGCCAAATGCAATGAAGTTCAAAGCGTGTGTTGTGCATGTGAGAGGAGCTACACAAATAATGTGGGAGGAACATGACAAGCTGTTTATACTCCCTGCTCACAATATATTCCAGTTTTATAACAGAAGGGCAAATTTAAAATCTCATAGAGAGCTGAAAAGGCTCTTTGCATTATACAAGCACTCCAGAAAGTATTCAAGCTCCTTCACTTTTTGGACACTTTACTGTGTTGTAGATTTAATTTTTAATGAATTTCTAATTTTACCCATCAAGCTAGACTTGACAACCCACCCATTTGCTGTGGTGCTCCAGATTGTGGTCAGGTGCATCCTGTTTTCTTTAATTGGCGTCAGCCTGGGGCAAACTAAACTGGCTAGAAAGGCAGAAAACTGTGTATGGGTTCAACAAATCACTCTGCATGTCAGGATGAAAACCAAGTCACGAAGTCCACAGAACTTTGTAGATGTCTTTAATAAACTGTGATACGGTGCAGAACAGGACAAGCATATAAACCTGGTTCTAAAGCTTTGAGCGTTCTCAGGAGCACAGGGTTCTCGATATTTGTGAAACAGAAGACATTTGGAAACACCAGGATTTCAGCAGCACTCCATCAATCAGACCTTTATGATAGGGTGGTTAGATGGAAGCTCTATTGAGACTGTGGGAATATAAAGAAAACATATTCTGATGAGACAAAAACAGAACTCTTTGGGCAGAACTCCAAGCACTGTGTCTGGTGAACACCAGGCACAGCTCATTAGCTCATTAGCAGCTAATACATCCCTGTGGTGAAGCATGGTGGAAGCAGCATCATGCTAAGGGCGGGGGGTGGGGGCTTCTCAGCAGCAGGGACAGGGAGACTGGTCAGAACTAAGGGAAGGATGGATGGTCCTTGAAGAAAACCTGCTCCAGAGTGCAGCGAGACTGGGGTGACGGTTCACCTTTCAACACAACAACCTGACCTGAAGTAAACAGCCAAGACAACGCTGGCGTGGCTTCAGCACAAGTTTCTGACTGTCTTTGATTTAAACCCATACAAACATTTCCCATCCAATCTGACAAAGCTTGAACAGGTCTGCCAGAAATAACAGGCAAAACTATATTCCAGGTGTGCAGGCTTGTAGAGAGGTCATTTGCTAATCTCTGCCCACTCTCTTAACTTTATAACAAGCCTCAAATACTATTATGGCAAGCACAGTATCCTCAGGGTCAGGTGTGACTGTGTGAGCAGCTGTGCGTAGGCACATCTAAAGGCCTATGTACAGTATAAAAAAAGCAAAACACTGCTTTAGCTGCATTTATCCTAACTAATTCTGCTAGCACTGCTCTAGCCTTATCTGGAGATGTGACCCCGTTTGGTCCAGGTCACATTGCAACAGTCTGGACTGACTCAGCAGCAAGATTATACAATAAGAGATTGACTCAGCCTCACCATTTGGCAGTCAGGACAGATGACACTGAAATCAAGAGCAGCATTGTTCCATTCATGGCTGATATCTTTTAAGGAAGATAGATTTTGGTTACATATAAACTAAACCAGCATTAGGCTTGCTTCAAAGCAGAAACTGAACTATGGATAACTCATATAACACAAGGAAGACATAATAGCGTGTAGACTTGGTTCATCTCATAGCAACCTTTCTTCCCACTGGCTGTCTGCTTGATGTTTTAAAAACCAATTATCAGCTAACTTCAAAGCATCGGTGAGTCTATAATAGGGGTGCAGATCCAATTTCTGCTCCCCAAACTCCACCTTTTCAATCAGCGCCTCATCCTTCCTGATTCTTAACATCTACAGCAAACAGCACATGACAATTAGAGCATTTTGTGCTCAGGCACTTTCAATGAGATGTAATATACACTGTGTGCACAATTATTAGGCAAGTGAGTATTTTGACCATATCATCATTTTATCCATAATTTCCAACTCCAAGCAGTATAAACTTGAACACTTATTGGACTTAATGCATATCAGGTGATGTGTTTCAGTGTAACGAGGGAGGGTGTGGCCTAAGGAGATCAACACCCTATATCAAGGTGTGCATAATTATTAGGCAGAATGTTCTCCTCTGGTCCAATGGGCCAAAAAAGAGATTTAATTGACTCTGAAAAGTCAAAAATTGTAAAAAGTCTTTCACAGGGATGCAGCACTCTTGAAATATCTAAGATATTGGGGCGTGATCACAGAACCATCAAACATTTTATAGCAAATAGTCAGCAGGGGAGCAGTGGTACAGGAAAAAGTCTGCATCTTTCAAGAAGACTTTGATTTTTATGCAAGACAATGCTCCATCACATGCATCAAAGTACTCCACTGCGTGGCTGGCCAGTAAAGGCCTTAAAGATGAAAAACTAATGACATGGCCCCCTTCTTCACCTGACTTAAACCCTATTGAGAACCTTTGGGCCCTTCTTAAGCAGGAAATTTACAGTGAAGGTAAACAGTACACCTCTCTGAACAGTCTCTGGGAGGCTGTGGTTGCGGCTGCACAAAAAGTTGATTCTGACCAGATCAAAAAACTGACTGACTCTGTGAATGGAAGGCTTGTGACTGTTATCGAAAAGAAGGGTGGCTATATTGGTCACTGAGGTTTTCTGTTTGGAATTTCAGAACTGTTTATTTGTAAATTATGAGTTAGTTTATTATTCTCACTTTAACAGGTGAAAATAAATAAGTGAGATGGGAAAATCTTGGTTTTTTATTTAGTTGCATGATAATTCTGCACACTAATAGTTGCCTAATAATGGTGTACATTCTCTTAAGAATGCCAAAACTTCACTTTTACTACTTAAATGTTTGAGGGTTTAACATTTTGGATTGACCAAGAGCACTGTAGTTGTGCAATAACAAAATTAATCCTCAAAAATACAACTTGCCTAATAATTGTGCACACAGTGTAAATTAGCTGACTTCAACAGAGTAAAGAAGGAAGAGAAGTGGTTTGTCTGTCAGTCTATAACTAAACAAGGGTAAGAGGCCGATCTTCCTCATTAAAATTGCTCTGCCCCCTTATGACTCCAAAAGAAAAGGTCAGAGGTAAAATATAGTGCAGGGAAACGCCAGGCCTGAAAACGACACCTGCCCTTAGCCTATTTTGATCGTCCTCACACACTGGATGCCTGGCTTTCTGGAGGGCGTGTACTCTCTCCAAAACTCTCTGTGTCTCACTGCAGCTGCTGAAGACACCAAACTGTGAAGAGTAATACGAGTCATAAACAATCGTTATGAACAATACATATTCCCCTTGTACTTCATTATGCATTCGACTGTAAAACTGAGTCTAATAACATCCACTTCAGAGTTGAGCTCTCACTATGCATTTCAGGCTTGAGTTCTTACTTTGCTAAAGGCAGTCTCCAGGCAGAGCTACTGAATAGAGCTGAATGCTCATTTCAGCCACAAAATCTCACAGGGAATTAGTAAGCAACTGGAGCTGTGCAGCTGCTGCACAACCCAAATGCCAAGTGCTTTTGTGACTTTGTTTACATCTCACTCTTTATCACTTGATGGCCAATATGGTCTCTGGGCAGACATAATGTTACTTCTTAGTCACCTGAATAATAAAGTTTTAGTATTCAGAGATTATTGTGCCTTTGAGCGTCCTAGTTTCCCCTTTGATTAAGAAGGACAGACAGCTTGCAAGGCCTCTGAAGTAGAATGGTGTGTGACTGGTGGATAGCAGTGAGCTAAAGAGGTCAGAGGTCAAAGGAATCTCATGCAGACACTGACCAAAACACTGAGCAAGTGTCCCCTTGCTCTGTGTGACAAAAAAGAAACATGTGGCGGGAAATTTACCTGTAAGCTTTTGGAGGTTTGAGGATACCTTTTATTTGTTGCATGTCGATGTTAGTTTGAGCTGAAATATCTTCACTGGACACGAGCAGAGTTACTACATAATTCATAGAGGAGTTATTAGCCCAGAAATCCCCAACAGAGGTCTCATAGCGAATGACAAACTCAATGCTAGAGCCATGTGTGGTATAAGGTGGTGCAAAAGACAGCTTGAAGGAGAACTGATCAGTGTCCCCATCATGAGATCCCTGGACATACTCTGCAGGGTGGTCAAAGTAAGTAGCCCAGTTGTCCATGGTAGCTCTAATATAAACTGCCTTGTGGAAGGAGATGTTCAGGACTCGTACCACCCCAGTGAAGGTCAGTGGCTCATTGTCTACTGGAGACATCTGCTCAACCTCCACTTTATTTGCGTGCACAGCCTGCAGCAGCGCGCTGCCGACTGGTGCGTTAAACTCTGGGTGCACATGATAGGTCAGCTCTCGCTCTGGCTTTCGGTACTTCAACTCCTCTTCCTCCCACTTCTTAGTGTCCTCTTCCTCGTCCGAATCAAAGGCAAAAAATTCCTTCACGTCCAGCAGATCGCCACCTGTTGTATCGGCAAACGACACTCTCTTTTCGCCAGACAGCGCCAAATGGATCCGCATATACTCGGCAGTCTCGTCGTTGATCGACTGGCCTCGCTTTCTGGGCACCGGGGAGCACCGTGGGATGAAGCGGACGTCCTCAGTGTCCTCATCTTCTTCTTCATCATCAGTATTATTCTCCTTGTTATCCATGGGTGATCGAGTCTTTGCCTCCTCAGCTGATGTGCCAGTTTTAATAGTAGCAAAAAGACCTTCTTGGGTTGGTATGGTTAAAAAAGACATTGTTGCATTTGTGCACACTCGAGGAAGCTGCGCTGAAGATAGTGCATATGGCGTCTCCAAAAAGCACTATCAAACAGGCCTACTCATGCTTTGCGCAGCAGTGACAGCGCTGTTCTTGAGCACAGAGCCTCCTTTAGTCAACGTGCAGCGTTAAATGTCACCCATGGAAAACTTGTCTTTAGAGCCAGCTCTGATCGCGTATCCCCTGGTCTACATGACTTTATAGATCGCAGTTTGGCTGATGTGGCGGAAGGAGCTGCCTCTAATTTTAGAACTGAATGACCTACTGCCTGGGATCTCCATGCCCCAAATGTGTCTTTTTAAATTGGTATAATCCTGCGACTCCCCTTCTTCAGTTTGGTTCGGGCTGGTAAACGCCCACTGCTGGATATTGAGAAGTAATAGGCTGCCAGTAACTGTAACTAAGACATGACATGAGAATGTGTGAATATCTGTGACCCAAGATGTAGTTTATAGACGACAACATCATCCAAATAAAACCTCTGCTGACATAAAGTGGAAATTAAGATATTTCGGGATTTCATGGTCCAAAACCCCATAAGGAAAATTATATGCATACAGGCATTTAATTAAATTGCTGTTGCATGTATAGGCTATTTATGTTTTACAACATGAAAATACCCCTGCTAATAAATTATGGGCAGGCGAAACAAAAACTGTGACAATAAAATGTGCCTTGAATGCTGATCCCATTCCAGCTGCAGCGTGGCTTCTGTATGAGAACCAGGAAATGCCAAAGTAAAAGACAGGACTGACAGGGTGAAACAAGCTGTACGAGCTATACAAGCTCATTTGGGAGGCTTTTCATATTTGTGTGCATCCAAATCTTTTATGTGAATAAACAGATTCCGTGATTAATTGAAATTTTCTGTATCTTAATATCTCCTGTTCTACACCCAATTCCTCAGATGGAAAATAAACAGCTGTATTAAAGTAATGTTAGTTACAGCTTGTTCTGATGTTGTAGGGTAAATGTATAAAGGGGATCTTGCATACATTGTTTTTCTGCAGCACTTGCTCTCGCTGCGCAGTTAGAAACTGCTACATATTACTATGTAAACACACCCTTGTAAATGATTGGTGGAGAGGTTTAAGCGCGGCGTGCCGTAGCCAATCAGAAGATTGTTTTTCTGTCACGTCTGTGCACGGATAGTAAGCTAGCGGATAATGCAAACATAAACTAATATAAAGAATTCGGATTGAAGCTAAAGGCGGTACAGCTTAATACGGGAAGGTTTGATAATGGTGACCGATATTTTCCTTTTGGACTATTCATTCGTGAAAATGTGTTGCGGCCCTTCCCGCGATGACACACGAATTGGGTAACGCAAGCTAACTAACATTAGCAACAGCCTGCTAATTTTAACGTTCCATAAGGCCGCTGTTAAATAACGACGAGAGCTGCTTCCTGTTCAAGCTTCACCGAGAATGTGGGCTACATTACTATTCAAGTAACGACTTCGCAATGGATATATAATCAGCTTGTTGAGCGGACCTATTGATTGCATTCACGTTTGTTTTAGTTGAGTTTTTGGGTCTATCTGGCTTGTTAGCTATTTGGCTAGCTAACGTTAGCTAGCATGAGTGAACTGACTGACTGCAAACAGTCCGCTGACTCTGCATCGAGGAAGAGGTGTCCATCACCCGACCAGGATGAAGGCGGCACGATTCCTCACAAGTTTTCCAAAGTAAGTGACGCGTCAAATGAAGCGGGAGTTACTTCGGAAAGTTGCAAAAACAATGAAGATGACAATAAAGAAGTAACTGGAAGCGAGAGCCAGTCAAAAGATAACGTGGAAGGAGCGGCTGCCGTACAAACAGATCAGAATCCAGATGACACCAGTACACTGCCTGCCAACAGATCCCAAGGTGACGGTAACGATGACAGCAACGCCGAAAAACCACAACCTTCAGATACACCGGGACCTGCTGCCTCAAAAGAAGCTGCAGAGAAGACAACAGGGATCGAGCAGCGTGCTCCTCTGGACCAGTCCGACTCAGCAGCCATAGCAGCAGCGGAAGCACTTGCCAGTCTCACAGGAGGAGACGGGGAAGACAGTCAAGAGACTCCTTGCTCATCTGAAAAGGCTAAACAGGTGAAACCGGGGAGCAAATTCAGACAACGTGGGGGCCATCAGTCCTCCAGAGCGGGCTCTAAAACACAGGCAGCTGCAGCAGATAGCTCCACATCTGTGCATAGTACTGACAGAGAAGATGCAGATGACGTGCACGAAGCAGATGAAGGTGATGAGTCCATATCTGGCTCTTCATCCACACCGAGCTCCTCTTTCCCATCAGAAAATGAGGACAATGATGATGGAGAGTGTGCCATTGTGTCAGTTAAGATGGCCCCTGAGATGAGACAGTCAGTGGCTCTCCTGGCGCAGGTACAGATGAGGCTGGAAGCTCTCGAGAAGAAAAGCGCCCGGCTCCACCAACGGCTGGAGCTGAAGATGAGTCGTCAGCGACGCCCGCATCTGGATCAGCGCAGCTCCATCACGAAAACTATCCCAGGCTTCTGGGTGACAGCTGTATCCTTGAAATGCATCATTTTCCTCTTTTGTAATTTCCACTTTATGTTGTGGTATTTCGAACAAAGATATGTTGGGGTTTCTCCTTAACTTTAATGTTCCAGCTGTTGAACCATCCTCACCTCTCAGCTCATATCGATGAGACCGATGAAGATGCTCTTAGTTACATGACTGACCTTGAGGTAGGAAGTGTTGTGTTCTTACAAAGTCTGTCTAGTGTGTATGCCTAGGTAGCAAAATTCAGACTTTTTTCCATGTGTGTTCTTAGATCGAGTCGTTCAAGAGTAACAAGCTGGGCTACAGGATTCGCTTCCACTTCAGACGGAATCCGTATTTCCAGAACAACATCATTATGAAGGAGTTGCACCTTGCGATTGCAGGTAAAAAATAAGCATGTGGTGATTAAATCAAAGTATATTTTCTTTCTCCTTTGGTAGAAAAAAAACAGCAATGTTGTTTAAAACATTAATTATCAACCAGGAGACATTTTTGGAGTAAAGAAGACAAATAGAAAGACATTCCCTGGAATAACTTCCAAAAAGTGCCATCTTAGTCAGACCTCACACCTACAGTCTTCAAACAGTCCAGTAGAAGTGTGAGGAAAAAGGATACTGTGAGAATATTATGATTGTTGTATTCACTGTTCTTCTTTATAAACACAAATTAAAAGAGTATTTGCAACTTACAATGCGTTTTAGTATCACAGTCCAATCCTGGGTGCTCATGTTTTCAGGATCTCCCATGTCTTTCTCCAACCCCATCCTGTGGCATCGTGGACACAACCTGACAGCCCATAGCGAACCCAGGAAATCATCGCATGGGGTGTACCAGACCTTTTTCAGCTGGTTCAGTGATCATAGCAACCCAGGACAAGATGACGTAGCACGGGTACAGATGACAGAACCTTCAAGCTGGCATGAGTTCATGATCATAGCACAGCTCAGATAAGCAGGCTCAGCATGGCATAAACACTGCCGTCTTTGAAGAGTTGAATTGTTACCCACTTTTAAATGTCCACTATTCTGGTGTATTCAAACTTGCAACCTTTCTGTGTGCTGGAAGATTGATCAAGACACAGTTTCTTCTTCATTTACTCAACTTTCCTGCCAGTTTATGATAAACTAAAATGATTCAGGGATATGCAGACACCCACTTGTTTGCCATCAGATATAATAGATCATTTATGAAGAAATACACTTGTGACATTTGTTCAATGTGTAATGATGCTCAAACCCTTTTCTCAGCTTAGCAGGGCTGTGTATTAAAACAGTTAAAGAAGGCATGTGCTCTGAACATATTGAGCTAGAATGTTATGGAAATGACTTCCGTTTTGATGTTTAGATACTTAGGGATGACCTGTACCGAGACCCGCTGAGATACTACCTCACTCCGCTCTGGGAGCCGAGGGAGAACGGCAGGTATGACAACACATTCTCCTAGTTGTGTAGATATTGTGTAGTCAGTGGACAAACCAATTATTAACCTGGAAATCCTAGAAAAAGTCTCAGCCCCAGGGCCTTGAAATTATAGTTGAAGTATAAACATTAACAGTTTCCTGATCTTGTTTCCTGGTTGCAAGACCAGGCAGGATGCTTACAATGAGTGTGTGTGTGTGTGTGTGTGTGTGTGTGTGTGTGTGTGTGTGTGTGTGTGTGTGTATTTGCCTTTTTTCCTCCAGTAGTGGCAGTGGGGCCAGAGCAGCTGGCAACGGTAATAGAGACGAGTGTGTTGTAATCTCAGACTCGGATGATGAGCCTGGTGAGGAAGCTGGTGAGGCTGAACAAGGCCATAGCAGGGAGCAGGAAGAGGAGGAGGAGGGGGAGGAAGAAGAAGAAGAGGAGGACGAGGAGGAGGAGGATGACGACAGAGGGCCGAGCGCAGGTCAGTCCTGGGGCAGGCCACAGCAGGTCAGGGTACAGTGCACAGTTATTCATACATAGTTATACAGAGTTTCTCACTGAATTTGATTCTATCTTGATGTAGTTGTACATTTTAAGTTTTGCTGGAAAGTGGATGTCAGACGAACGCTGCAAAATGATTCTATTTAAAGTGTTTCCTGTTGCTCGTGCTGTGAATGAGAGACCAAGGGCTCGTTAGCATTAAGGTGACTAGCTGTAGCTGAAATATAAATGTCTGAGCAATGCAGGCTAAACTGAATAGACAGGAAATATCTCCTCCTCAGATGAGAGTCCAGAGAAGGAGGATGATGATGGAGAAATTGTGATCGACGGTAAGACACCACTCTCAACAGTAGTGTTGTAAATTCACCACTGTAACAAAGAATCAGTGGGGGGGCTTGGTTTTCCTATGTTCTCCTTTTTGATCACGCTGTTTTTCTTTGGTTTACAATCCGACTGTGCTTTGCAGTAATGCTAAGTGAAGAGAGGTGAAATTATAGCTCTCGTCTTTGCCCTGCAGGCTCTGATGACAGCGAGCAGCAACAGGAGGAGGAGGAGGCCTAAGAACAAGTGAAGAGGAAGGCGAGTCATCAAGGGACCAGAGACCAGGAAGATGAAGAGGATGCTGAGGTCAATGGAGAGAGTACCAGAGCAAACGGATCCCTTCTTCCTGATGTTACTCATTTTTATGCACAGAGTATCTTGTTTTTGTTTCTTTTCTACCTAAAGTACATAGAAGCATTTAAAATCAGGGTTAACTATAATAATAAAGCCAAGGTATCACGTTTCCCCTCTGTTTTATAAAGTCGGTACTTTGTGTTCTAATGTACTCTGATCCACGTTTTGAAAAACGATCTGCTCTTCATTCAAGCCGTGTTCTTCTGTTTGATGAAGAACATCGTTATGACAGCCTGCAGACATGTGGGTTACACTTGGCCGCTACGTGCTGACACCCAAACAAATGACAGTGAAACCTTCTGAGGCATTATTAGTGCTCATTTTATGACATTCATCATTGGCTGTTTTTAAGAATTGTTTTAGGAATGGCACAAGCTAAATTTGAAATAATGACAGTACATCTCATATGCATGAGTACTGAATGAAAATTTCTCAGGGATGATCATGGTGATAATTTTATCGAAGGAACCTTCTCAGACATTGACACACTCTGGATATTGTTGGTTGTGTATAAGGAAATGTGTACTCTACTGTAGTAAATAGGAACAGATATATTGTTTTCGTACACTCCCTGTGTTTTTCCCCTTCTTTTCCGTATGTTCAGTCTCGTTACACATCCACTCCACGCCTGTTAACAAGCTGTAAATCTCTCAATTTTAAAATCAGTGCTTAGTTTGACCATTGTTTCTGTGGATTTCTACATTTTTGTAACACTTCTACAATAAGTAACTGAGTCTTGTATATTTTTCCTTTAAATTATAACTTAATTTGCGTTTTAAAACCTTTAAAGTTTGCTTTCATGCTATGTGCTAAGATTTGTGTAATCTTTTAAAAAAGCTGGTATTTATTATAGTTTTTCTATGGATTTGCATCATGGCATGCCTGTGAGCATGAAACATAAGACGGGACGATCACATTTCTTACATGGCTGTGTAGAAGAAATAATTTGTGGTGCATAGTGTCGGGAAATGTTAAATCCACAGCGACATTATGGGATGCACTGTAACAAAAGTAATATTTGCTTTCTTTTCTTAGCAATGAACTTGTAAATAACGTTTTAGCATTGTCTTTTGGATAAGACAGTACATGTGTTTAATCCATGGATAAATTTATCAAGTAATCTGGAGTTTTTTCATAAACATGATCAGAAAGTTATATTTTGTGCTGTGTTTTCTAGAGCGCTGTAGTTTAAAGACATTGCTTTGGTTACCTTTGTTTGCTTAAAGATAAATGTTCAACTTTTGACCTTGGGCTAATAAAGTAGGCAGTTGTTTCACCTTGCTGTCTGTTATGCTTTAACTATACAGCAGCACTGCAACAAATGCACATTTCTCTAGTTAAGCACGAGATGTTTGGTCACTCAGCTAGAAATTGTGCACCCAGAGCCACAAGATGGCAGCGTTGTTCAGCTTATTGTCATATCTCTTGTTGGACTGAAGGTGTAAATGTAGGTTAATTGTGAAATAATTGTAGTATTTGAGCTATTACATGCTCATTAACGAGTCACTGAAATGCCTCAAATCCTAAGAACTCCTAATGACACCATGTGTGACAACAGTGAAGTCACCTCTGATATGCTTGGCTGCAGCATGTTCCCCTAGTAATCAAGAATGAAACAAACCCAAGTGCATTACAGCTGTTCTTTAGTGTGTTCCAACTCTGATTTGACAGCAATGTGTGATATCACTGACATTTTCAGTGTAGCAATGCATATAACCCCAGGCAAAGGCATTTTTGACAGGCCCAGACAAAGGAGCAGCAGTGGTGCTGCAATGGTACACTTAAACCTTTGATTCCACTTTTAATGCACAGCTATAAATATTCCACTAGCAAAAACCTGTCCTGCTGTCGGCCCAGCAGCACCCAGAGCATGCGGTCCAGGATGGGCCCATACTATTAATACTGATGATGCAAACACAATACACCCCATGAAATGATCCCATGTGAAACAAAGTGTTTGTCTTCTCTTTGAAGCAGCTTTATTCAGCCCACCTCAGAGCATGACATGTTTTCATAACTATGAATTAATAATAGGCTTGGTTCCTACAATATTGATCGTGACAAACTAAGTACAGATTGCCGGGACAACAAAGCCATCCTCGGGCTCCTTTGTGGTCGGGGGGGGGTTTCTATGAAGCCTTTGTTATGGATAGGGTGGCAAAAGCCTAAATGGATTCCCCAGTGTAAACTGCACTCCCCTGGGTTAAGCTGGTGTTGCTACTGTACACACATCATCTTGTCATGCTGCTTCATGTTCTCATGTTTCACCAAGTAGCTCACGGGAATCTCCTGCTCACACTGATTCACTGTAGACTGGAGAATGAAACGATAACACAGCAGCTCATTTTTCATCTGTGTGATTGATACTGGGAAGGGCATTTTCTCCTGTAAGGTGCACAGGAAAAGGGCTTGTGCTGCTCTCTGAGGATCATCTATAGCAGGTAATCTGAGAGGCTGAGGTAGGGCCCCTGAATACCAACTACCTGTGTGTGTGTTAATCCATGTGTGTATGTGAACCATTGCATTCTTTTATGCGCCTTCATGCATGAATTTTTGCAGAAGCTGCACATGACACAGATTTGCGGGTTTTCAACATCACAGTGCACGTATGCACAGCTGTCTGGTTGGCAGCTAATCAAGATAAAGGACAGCATTTGAACTATGCAGAGAGGAAAACAGAGAGGGCCTGGGAAAGAGAATAGAATGAGTATGATTGAGGGAAATGGATGAGGGCAGTGATAAGGGGAGCTGGCTGGGCCCTGACAGATACACACAGCAGATGGATGACTCTTATCTGGAAGATCACAGGGTGAATACTCGCACCTAGGCCCAGTTACAGAGAGCCACGATCACACCAGACAGATGAATAGGCCTACCCCTCCACCAATCACACTGCACATACTGTACACACACCTACATACACAAACCACTTGACAGAACGAGCAGATTGCAGCGCTTACGTTACCTTTGTGTCTTTGACATTGAAATTCACCTAGAGTCCAGTGTCTGCAGGATGTGTGCATGGTGAGGACGGAGGTAGTGTGTGGGGAGAGAGATAAGAGAAATCAATTTCATTTTAATTCAAGCAGCAGAGCAAGTACACATGTGTTTGTGTTTGTGCATCTGCAACTGCATGCGTACACTGTATACATGTATGTTGGCACACACATTCATCTGCCATCAACATGTTCACTTTTCTCAGCATGGCAAAGAAATGTTCTCACTGCTTCGCTGACAGTGTCTGTCATAGAGGTTAAGAGAGAGCTGAAGTTATACATACTCAAAACAGAAACACAACAGGAACACTTACTCATTAACCAGCTATTACCAAAGGCTTTTGCAAGAGTGGTGACAGATTGACCTTTAAAGACACAAGGATTGTACTTTCACTCATCCGCCTCACGTTCTCACTGTCCTCCTCCTCATGTGTAGTAACTCCCTCCCGCCATGAACACACACTCCTTGTTATTTGAAAAAAAGCTCTTCTTCAACAGCTGCTGATTCTCCCAGCTGCATTTCATAGTGAAGGAGAGTGCCAGTCTTGTCTTCAAGGCAGATGGTGGCTGGCTGGTCCCGCGGACACGTGGCATGTTGGATGCCTGCAGACAGTGCTGTCTCGGAGGAAGCTGCAGCTACAATATGTCTGTACAGTGTTTTTTAGAAAGTCTTTGAGCACAATGTGAGGTGAGCGGGCTGTGATTGGAATGTGCGCCACGTATGCTCCCTCCATGTCAGAGATGTTTTCTAAAGTTGCTCTCCTTTGATAATAATTGGTGCGAGAAGTCCATGAATGTGGTGCAGCACCTGTTCCCTTATCTTGCATTTGGATGTTTACATTTTTTCTGACCTAAAGATAATAATTATCCGACTTGTAAAGTCGTGTGAGAGGAGATGTTGTTGAAAGTAGAGTAAATAACCCCGGTGACGCTGTAGTCAGAATATAGTGATGTTCTGAACTTTCTGTATCAGGCATGTTCAAACACTCATTGGTTCATCAATGAACTGATGAACTGGACTAAATGGGTTGTTTTTCCTCAAGAGGACAACACTCTGCCCCTAGATGTATCATGACTGACGTATGTGAGGGCCCAGGATTCATCTGAAGCCTTTGCTTTGCCTGGAGGGATAAATGTCTACTTCACACTTCACATTACCTGTCAGTTAGATGGGAAGATCCTCTTGTCAGAGCTTTTTCTGGAAGAGAAACAGACTTGCTTTCTTCTCCAGTCTGTCTTCATGATCCTATATCCATCTATCATGTTGGATCTATCATGGCCTCTACAACTACCGGTTTCTGCTTCTCGTACACACGTACACTTCAGAAATAGACCGTTCCACCGGTGAGTGAGAGGCTGCTGGCAGTAAGTCGAGGCAGTAGTGTTTGCCTTCTGGTCGGATAAGACCATGGGATGGAGGATGATGAAGTTAGAGATATGGATGACATTAATAGGTGCCTGTGGTGGGAGCCGGTCAGTGTACTTGTGTTCATGGTCAAAGTTGAGAGCACACGGAAACCTGAACTCAGCACATACTAGTGACTCATTTCCTCAGCTGCAGAGAGATGCCTCCTGTGGGGCATCAAACAAAGGCCTCGTCCTGGACAGATCTCGACACATTACCTCCCTTGCACCACGTCTGGCTGAAACCCAGTTTGAGATAAGGTCAGTGCTTACATGTTCTGTCTGTGTGATGATGAATCAAACCCAAGAATGTGGCTTAAAGATAAATTCAAAAAGCTAGAATGAAAGCTCCTCCCGTGTGACTTCATAGCACACTGACACACCACATTGCCTCATGTGTTTATTTTATTTTACTGTCTTGCAGAACCTTTGCCTTCACTCTTGTGCCTTCGTGCACCGTACTGCGTCAGAGCTCACCACAAAGCCAGTAATGACAGGAGGTGCCCGAAAATCTGATTTAATTTCAAGCTCAAGGCTCTGTTAACAGGATCGATGTCCTTTACATCCAGTCTCCCCCCTCCTTCCACTTGCTTTGTCACTGTTGTCATGAGCACTGAGGCCAGCCAGAGAGGAATCCCAGGAATCTCTTTTGGCTGACCCGGTTCTCATGTAGAGCTGAAGAGTAACGGTGACAAGGCCCAAACTCAGCTTCACTTTAATAGTGAATTTCAGCCTCTGCGTCATGTACGAGAATAGTCTGAGACCCTATTTGTGCATGAGGAAAAAGAATCAGTGGCTGCATGCCCATCAACATTTAACTGAACTATTCTGGTGACATAAACTTCACCAGAGGACAAAATAGTTCCTAATTACAGTAACAGCAGAGCAGAGCAGTGGCTGAACTCACCAGCAGTGACAGGGTTAATCATACCCATATGGTGTACCAAGAGGTTTGGTCCAATGCTGCTGTGGGCCAACAGGAGAGGGAAGGCTGGGTGGGGGCAGAACAGAAGGGAGAGGACAGCGGGGCACACTCTCTCCCAACACCTGCACCTGGTCACTTGATTCACATTCAAACTCACTCCAAAGGATCAATGGACCAGCGTCTTGCCCACAACACGGTGATGGTTGCTGCTTTCCAGGCTTAAACTTTTGGCAAAGAGTGGAACAAGCGCTCGAGGTTCAGCTGTGTAGTTTTCTTTTTGTCTTCCAACACTGCAGGAAGACATGCCGTCGGTTAATAGCCGCTGATTAGGCAGCGTTTTCTTCTTCTTCTCAAGGGGAATTTGCAAATCGGACTGTTCTGTGGCTGCACAGCGGTGCTGAGAGAGATTTTCCAAAGCAGCTCCGGGGCGCAAAACGCGGGGAATGCAGCGGTAACATCCCGCAAGTTTTGGATCTGAGAAACGTAGCGGCGATCGTGAAAGTCCGAAACCAAAGGTAGGACATCTAACTTAGCTCTGGTTTAACTTTTAACTCGTATTTGGTTACTCTGTATCGTACTCTGAATGGTAGGTGACTGAAGCACCACACACACATTTGTTCGGCTCCTATTTCTGGATGTTGAGTTCACAGGTAAGACGCACTCCTCCTCGGAAAAAGAACTCGGTTCTAGACACCATATAATTATTTTTCTTAAAGGGAAACCATGTATTATTACAGCAGAACCGTCCTGCCTTCACCCAACACAGAAAACCAGCAGAAATATCGTCACCCATACAAAATACCCCAAAGTACAACCAGGCCGTCGAGCTGGAGTCCCCTCGGGCACAACACAACGTTTTAGTCGTATTTCCTCGATGGCGACTTCAGTTATATTTCAGTAGGAATACATTGCATCCCTGTTCCATCTTCATTTAAATGACGGTACATTAGATGTAGTGGTGATGACATGAATTTCTCCAAGTCCTAGACGCTTTGCCTGTTGCCTAACACCTCAGGTGCGTGTTGAAGAAGTGGTAATGCTCGTTTTACTGTGCTTAGATAAATAACAGTAGCAGTGATCACGTTTATTTCTTTTTTATAAAGTCACACTGACCCAGTGTTGTGCCAATAAGCTGTGTGTGTATTAGATGACACTTATTGGAGGAAAACCATCCATGTTTTTGATTACACATCTCATGGTGCATGTGTGTTATTAACAGCGTGTTTGGTAAGAGGAACAGAGATCAAGCTTTTCTGGTGAGATGATATATGGCCACTGTGTCATTATGCACCAGGCCTGTGAATCGTTCTCAGTGACTTGTGCTTTTAATTTCCATGCCAGTAATTTCATCAGATTTATTTGGTGTCATTGCATGTCACCATTAAATTAATGCCTTATTGTGCAATTCAATGAACATTCTGAAAACTATCTCTCTCTCTCTCTCTTTTTAAAATCATGAATATTTGTCCCTAAAAGCCTCGTACCCTGTGCCACAGGAGGCTTTGGCTACATGGATGACACCAGAACAAGAAAAGCCTGTGAGCTGCCTTAGCCTGAGCAAAGCACACCTTCAGGGAGACAATTTAATGGATGCTATGGACTCAGCTTTTAGTATTCATAATTTATATGGGATCCTCTCCAGTAAAGTGCAGCTACATAATGAATGTCTGAGTTAAGGTCTAACAGTTAAGCTACGTTTTGACACCCCTAAACTGTCAGAAGCCATTCCAGCCTGTTTCTTTGAACTGTCATGCATTTCTCTCTTCAGCCTTTGACATGCTTTGTTGAAAGACAGAGAGAGAGAGGCAGAAGGAATGGGCATCGGAGTCGTGTTTTATACAGTCTTCTGGGAAAATGGGGATGAAATACCTGTTTAAGAAAATATAATATGTTTAATAAATTGTTCAAGATGAAGACAATTTTTTCAGACTTTTTCCATGTGTCTGTGCTGGTAAACGCTATTATACAGTCCTAACACATACCTAACTACATTTACACTTTAAATAAATAATAGGGCTGTCATATTTTCCAGAGCAGGTGTGAAGATTTGGACACTCGTGCCAAGCTATATGCCAACGCCTTGGAAGGCTTCAGGCCAAACTTCTGATCAGAGAAAGAGAGAGAGCCTCCTGCTTGTACTTTCTACTTTTTCTGTCTCATATTTCTCATGGGGCACTCTATAATAATAGTTCATTCCTCTTTCTTTTTTCGTCCAGATTTAGATCTCTGTGAGCTACCTGCATGGCTGTTACCATGACAGCATTTGGAGCCCAAGTCTTCCTGTTGGCCTTGTGTGTTTACAGCAGCTCGGGCATGCAGCAGTCTGCTCCGCGGGTTCGCCTCTCTTTCAAAGGTGAGCTCGCAAAGATTAACTCAAACTCCTCTGACAGCAGAGATTATCATAATAGTTTCTTTTGCTTGTTGGGTTTTTCTCACTAAGTCACTTGCGCGCACACAAACTCATACACATGTATTCACACCAGCGCTTTTGTTTCCTCTTTATACATACGTAAAGAACTTATTTCCTGCCACATGTCAAATAGGGCAACGCTGGAAACAAAAGGTGGATATTACGTGCGGTTGATTACTGGCAGTGCCCTTCAACAGAGTTTCTCCCCACACCCTAAAAACCCACATGCACAGTGGTCTGACCTGTCAGGTCTTTGTTTTTGATGTCTCACATGGTGACACCAGAGGGAAACACCTGAAATCCGATCATAAGAACAAAATGATATTTAATAACTGTGATGTTTTGGCCCCGAGGTGTAAATTCAAGCCTTTTTTTTTCAGGCATTTGGGATTTTCCTGTGTAGTCTGCTCCCTGTCCTCATTAACTTTCATGGCAGAGATTCAGGTTACAAGTATGCGGATAGTGCCTATGATCAGAAATGTGCTGATGATTACAGTACTTCACGTGCACCTGAGGTACCTTTAAGTAAGAAGTAGATGTGTGAAAAAAGATATCATCATCAACATCTTCAGTGCTTTGATGTGGAGGTGTGTCACTGTGTTCTGGGCCCAGTTCAGGCAGAGTCAAAGGGTTCGGTGCCATGTCTTACCCAAGTACAGTGATTCACTGAGAGCGATTTGTACTTTTTAAGCAAGACACATCTGATGCAGATTAGCAGTGAGCTAATCGTGGCATCCGTTGCTGCTAGCTGGCAGTTGGAGTCTGTATGTAGTGCTGTTTTGAATTCAGCTGATTTTGTAACACTGGTAACAGCTGTATACATGCTGTTCAGGGATGGTTCCATTTGAGGCTTGAGAGGATAATTGCAGTGCATTTTGTATGACCTTTAACTCTAATCCCATTTCAGTGAACAGCTTATGCACACCAATGTGTTTTTGCAGCAGGGTGCACAAAGTAGTGTGACCAATTACACAAGTTTGATCTTGAATTTAATCATGTAAGATGTAGGAATTCACATCTGTACAGAGCTCTTTAGGACAAACTCACACACAGGCTTGTTTAAAACAACTAAGAGGTGCTGAATTGTTGGATTGTTGGTAAGGCAGCAACATTCACAGACCTCATTCACCCCTCCCCCTAATACCCAACAAAAGGGAGAAAAGTTGGATTTACTCCCCAACAGTTTTCTACCACACCAAGGATTTATTGTCCATTGTTTGTGACAGCGAGTCTCTTTGTTCCCCGAGGCGCCCGTGGAGGAGGTTTCGGGGCGGCTGGTGGACATGTGACTCTTGTGAACAAATGAGCTGGCCTGAGTGACACTCTGGGGGTACAGGAGGCCTGCAGAGGATAGAGGTCTTGTATTGTTTCCTCTGTCACTGGGAGATCGTGTCAGTTATGCACACTTCAAAGGGAGTCTCGTATAGCAGAATTAATCAGCGCTGCTGGAGAGCAAAAGATGCAGAGTAACTAAAGCCACGTTTTAGGATCTCATGCCTTCACGGTGCTGTCACCAGTTTGTTCATACTCGAGATAGGCCAGTGGTCATTAGTGCCTTAGTGACGATATGTAACATGAGAGTTAATAGTGGCCCAGCTCTAGCTTCATACATGAATCATATGTCCTTCCTAGAGTTTCCCTGTCAGTGTCAGAATGTTGTCAGGGGGTAATGTTTGCTGAATGTTTACCAGATGATGGCAGGACATTGTTTGCTATTTCTGGAGAATGGACACATGTATAGGGGTGTGGTGTTTCTACATTTAGCCTCTTCAGTGAATCCACTATGGGCCAGCGGAGCTTGGCCCGAGGCTTGTTATCCTGTGTTTACATCTCTGGAACAGAACCGGAACAGGCTCTCTCCCGTGTCATCCGGAGATCTGACTGCATCGCTTATTTCTGTGGCACCTTGACTGCATCCTGTTAACACTGACCTCAGAAGGAAGATAGCAAGCACTCTGATGTAAATAAAGCTTGTGCTTTCTCTCGAATCCCCATAAGCCGGGTTCTGAGGGTCTCTGGGAACATTTGTCATTATACACACCAGCTGTCTTTAAGATGCCTCCACATCCCCAAGTGTGCAAATTCAGTGGTCGATATCTCACACATACCATCGATGTGATTGAGTCTGTGTTGCTTTTTGTGTTTAAAATGGTGTAATGAATTGTTGCATGGATAAAAAAATCACATTCAGAGGTCGAGCGCAACAGAGTTGCAAGAGATGTCTTGCAGCAGATGAAAATGGTTCAATCAAAGCTTTAAGGAGAACAAGAAACTGAGAAACATTTTTGACTGCAGCATGTCTTAACAGGTCATGCTCTGCTGAATGCAGTCCTGATCTTATGAATTAGCTGTGAGCTAACCGTGTTTCCTAAGGGACTGGATTTTTTTCTTTTTGTCTAACTCCACGTGGCGTGCGGCACCTTCAACTCTATCAGACAGTCAGGACACATAAAATATTGAGGTCTTAAAAGCAAAACATGTTTCTTAAAATGCTCTAAGTTGAGTTATATTTAATCTGTGACACACATTTTCCAGAACTGTGTTGTTCAAGGGACCATGTGTTCCTCCAAGTCAGTAATGAACATGTTCAAGGCATAAGGGCAGTTATGTGAATAGATGTTAAGAGGTAACCTGTGCTCCCCCTGCTGCTGGTTTTTCAAAAGATTTTTAACAAACCTGCAACTTTTTCCCACACAGAACTGATGGACACGCGTGCAGCACGTCCGTTCAGTTTCTCCTTCAACACTAGCGACTACCGCATCCTCCTGATGGATCAGGATCAGGGCCGTCTCTACCTGGGCAGTCGGGAGTACCTGGTGGCTCTGGACATGCACAATGTCAACAAGGAGCCACTCATAGTGCGTATGCACTCCACTCCACTAGCTTGCTTTAATTTAAATCCAGACTGTTATTTGGAATAAGGCATTACGTCTGTGAATGTACTGATCCTTAATAATCCAGTGTTTACGGTGTGTTTTTTTTTTTTTGCAAAAACACAGATTCACTGGCCAGCGTCTGCTAAGAGAAAAGGAGAATGTCAGATGACAGGAAAGGAGAGACAGGTGGGAGCATGTATTTACATCCTGTTCTTTTCACAAATCAGTCTCGTGCTTTCAAGATGGGACATTGCAGATGATGCTGTGCTGTTTCAATTCCATTTGTCTTAATCCTCTTTGTCCAGGGTGAATGTGCCAACTTTGTGAGGTTAATAGAGCCATGGAACCGCACCCACCTCTACACCTGTGGAACAGGGGCATACCAGCCTATCTGCACATTCATCAACAGGGGCTGGAGGGCAGAGGTGAACACAAAAGAGCTTTTTCCATTTTAGGAACCTACCAGAATGTCTCGCACCAAGTAACGCCTGTCACAGGGTCTCAGGAGGTAGTACTGAAATCAAGTTCCAAGCCCATGAGATGGTTAAATGTCCGTCTTCACGCCGCAAGCATTAGCATTACAAGCACCATTTGTAAACACACAGCAGATGCATGTGTGAGAGAAGAGCAGCCCCTCCCTCCTCTAAACAGAGACCGACAGAGAGAAAATACAGCAGAAAAACAAAGCAGGATGGTCTGCGTTAACCCCGGACCGCTTGTTAGGTTCCAACAGTGGAAACGCGGCAAAAGACATTTACAGCTCCCTGAGTGGGATTTACAGCAGTGAGCCTGGACAGCTTTGCCCTGCTAAATGTTTCAGGAGTACAAACTGGGACACTGATTTGTTTGTGATTTTCCCATACTCCCTTGTCACGTTTTAGCAGTCTATTCTTATGCACACTTTTCTGTTGGCTAAACTGTCTCTGCAGGACTACCTTTTCAGGCTGGTGCCTGGGTACATGGATTCAGGGAAGGGAAAATGTTCCTATGATCCCAAACAGGAGAGCATTGCAGTTCTAATCGGTAAGACGCACCTCATTTATAGACAGAAACCCCACAACATTTTTAAATGTAAATGTCTAATCACAAAGTCTTACCTCTCTGTTCTCTCACTGTCTCACCTGAGCAGATGGGAACCTATATGCAGGGGTCCATATTGACTTCATGAGTACAGATGCAGCTCTGTTTAGGACCATGGGAGGGAGGACAGCAATCAGGACCGAGCAGTATGACTCTAGGTGGCTCAATGGTGAGTAAGTGTGGGCGTTAGGAGGTAAATGTCGCTGATTACAGGTTATGGTTCCTCTCATTTTATTTGACAACCACTTGCCTTAATCCTCAGTCTGCCTATCTGTTTTTTCATCCCCTAGAGCCTGTGTTTGTTCAGATCCAGCAGATCCCTGACAGTGCAGAAAGGAATGATGACAAACTTTATTTCTTTTTCCGTGAGAAGACTTTAGACGCCAGTGGTGGGACGAGCCCCAGCGTTATAGCTAGGGTGGGAAGAGTGTGCCTGGTGAGCCAAACCACATTGCATCTGCAGTGAAAGTATATGCAGCTTACCTTGTACATGTTGAATGACCTAATTTTCCTTCTGTCTAGAATGATGAAGGAGGGCAGAAGTCCCTGGTGAACCGGTGGACGACGTTCCTGAAGGCTCGTCTTATCTGTTCAGTGATAGGAGAGGATGGAGTGGAGACACGCTTTGATGAACTACGTGAGGCCACAATAAAAGAAGCACTGCATTAAAACTGATTGCATTTTAATTGCACCTGATTTTACTACAGTGTTATTGATTTGTGAATAATTCTCCTTCCAGGGGATGTGTTTATTCAGCCCACACAGGATGAACGAAACCCTATGGTGTATGCTCTCTTCACTACAGCAGGGTAAGTCACTTCTGACTGGTTGATAAAGTCACATCTCAGAAAAAACCTCATCTGATATGTTTTGTTTTTTTACACTCTTGTACATTTTAGTGAACAATTCATGCTTAAATTTAAAAGGGTTGGGTGCATCCAGGCTCCTCACTACATTTTAACTTGTCTGTTTCTGTTTAAGCTCTGTGTTCAAGGGCTCAGCAGTCTGTGTGTACTCAATGGCTGATATCCGCAATGTCTTCAATGGACCTTTTGCCCACAAACATGGTCATAATTACCAGTGGACAGAATACACTGGCAAGATTCCCTACCCACGGCCTGGAACAGTACGATTCAGTCATGTTATCTGCACAGTGACACAAACACAGCACAGACATCCTTACACAAACCTGTTTCAGACATTTAAACAAATAAGTACATAAACATAATCCAAGTGATTTCTTTCCATCCAGTGTCCGGGAGGGACCTTCACTCCTGGGATCCGTTCCTCCAAGAACTTTTCAGATGAGGCTGTGAATTTCATTAGAGCACATCCCCTCATGTTCCATCCGGTTTATCCTATTCATCGCCGCCCCCTGGTGGTGAGAACTGGCGTGGACTACCGCTATACTGCCTTTGTGATGGATCAGGTGGATGCTGTGGATGGACGCTACGAGGTGCTCTTCCTGGGCACAGGTGAGGCAGCTGCAGGGGTGAAGGTACTCATCCGAGCTGGAAGATTATACAATACAATTATACATACTCTCTCTCACTTGTAGATCGAGGCACTGTGCAAAAAGTAATTGTTTTGCCTAAGGACCCCACCAGCATGGAGGAACTCACACTGGAGGAAGTGGAGGTTTTCCGGGTATGTTTAAATATGCAGCCCCAAAATGACTAAAATACTTGTCCGAAGATAAAGTCTTGTTGATCGGTCTTTTTTTGCGTTTTATCAATTTACAGACCAGAGCTCCAGTCAAAACAATGAGGATATCTTCTAAAAGAGTAAGAAAATTCCTCTTAGTGATAGAGATTTCATGTATCAACACATTCCTTGTGACCTCACTGAGTTGAGTTTGTTGCATCTTGTGTCACCACAGCAACAGCTGTACGTGTCATCGGACGCAGGGCTGACCCAGGTGTCGCTGCACCGCTGTGGTGTGTATGGCAGGGCTTGCTCTGACTGCTGTCTGGCCCGGGACCCTTACTGTGCCTGGGATGGAGAGAGCTGCTCTGCCTTCACCCCATCCACCAAGAGGTCAGGGTGCACCATTTCTAGTTTATAAAGTGAGGATGAGCTATGTTAACTTACCGCCTAATGCTGATCTTCATCTCAGGAGGAGCAGGAGACAGGATGTTAAACATGGCGATCCACTGAGGCAGTGCAGAGGCTTCAATGCCAAAGGTGTGACTTTTTGTGTTTGTGTGTTTAAACATCTTGTATACTTCAAGTGTTTGTTTGTTTTTGCATTTTCAACATTTCTTTTCTCTCAACTGATGCAGTGGAGAAACGTCTGAGAGAGACGGTGCAGTTTGGGGTGGAGGGCAGCAGTACCTTCTTAGAATGTCAGCCTCGCTCTCCCCAGGCCACTATCAAGTGGCTCTTCCAGAGGGAGGGAAGGAGGAAAGCGGTGAGGGAGAACAATGTCATGTTAGTCAGTGCTAAAGGAATAGTTTGGCTTTTTGTAAAAAACAACTATTCATTTCTTGCTTAGAGTTAGATCAAAACACTGAATCACCTCGTTAACAACTATTCATTTCTTGCTTAGAGTTGGATCAAAACACTGAATCACCTCATTATTCTGGCACACACACACACACACCCTATAAAACTTCAACTTGTTTTGGATTTAGCATGAATTAAGAACATGAGATTTAGCATGTTAATCAGTGAGGTGCTGGTAGCTGAAGTCTGCTACATTCTGACAGAGCCAGGCTATTTGTCTCCAGTCTTTATGCCATGCTAAGCTAACTGGTTGTAGCTTTACTGGACAGACATGAGAGCGGTATCACTTTTCTCATCTAACTCTTGGCAAGAAAGCTAATTAGCAAAAAAAATGCAGAATGCTGAGCCGTTGCTTTAAGGGCCTCAGCCACTTTCTTGTTTTTAATATATATCAGTTCAGACACATGCACTTCTTCCCTCACTTAGATGTCACTGCTGTTCTTTTTACCAGCTAAACCGTGTGGGAGGCATTCTGAAGACCAACCACGGTATCCTTCTGAAGTCTCTGAACCAGTCAGACTCGGGGCTGTACCACTGCCTCGCCACAGAGAACAACTTTAAACACACAGTGGCCCGTGTGGCGCTGCGCATCCTGGACCGAGACATTGTTATAGCTCTCACCACTCAAGATGAGGATGAAGAGCCAAAAACCCGCCAAGTGGAACCTTACCCGCAGCCATCCATCGCCTCCACACCCTTCCCACCTGAGATAAGACTGATTAACCAGTACTGCCAGTCCTACTGGGAACAACTCAACCCCAAACAGCAGCAGCGCAAACGTGCAAGCCGCAGGCACACGGAGAGCCAGGACCAAGGTCTGGGCTAGAGGTGGGACTGATGTCATCTGGAATTGGTGGACGTTTACATTTGACACGCATGTTTGGGTGTCACCTCACTTCATTAGGCAGGTGATGCTGTCTTGCAAATTACAAATTACTATATTGGTGGTTTTGCAAGTGTCAGCCTAAATACAAATTTTGATTATTTTACATTACTGATGACTGCTTTTCAGCAAATACTGTATGTTTTTTGGATTGATTTTCCATCTTCCAGATATCTGTTCCCGTTGTTTTGACGTTTAAACTGACTTGGACTTGATACGTTCTCAAGACTGATCACCTGTCACAGGGCTTGTTTTTCTTGTTGGTTCATTCAGGTGCTTGTAGAATCAAGATACAAGGTAAAACTTTTTAATGCAAGAAACTTAGAAAAAAACCCATAATTTTCATAAAGCCCATGTTTCCAGAGGTGTGAAAACGCAGCTCGATTACCATAATGTCACTGTGACAGAACACTACGTTGCTCATTGATCACACAGGTTTGTTGTTTTTTGGAAAATGTTAGATTGTGATGTAAAGTAAATGCAAATGTGGTTAATGTGCTGTAACATGCAAAACCATAAGTATGGTCTGTTTAAGTATCTTGAAACACAAATGTAATATATACTGATTATGAATATAATATATTGTCATTGGATTACTCTTGTATGAAGTTTTGTGATGATATAAAAGCATGTGTTGTACATTTTACTGTTCTGTTTTCAGCCTTGGCGTGTAGTGATGTTTGTATTGTGTAATGTATTTTGTTAAGCTAATTTCCATGTTGTCATATAAAGACTCCCTTACTGTCCTATGCTCTTGTGACCTACAGTATGTGAGTATTTAAGGTATGTATATCATACAGTGTTCTTCCAGTTATGCACTTTGTTGGTGGCGGTATTAGAGGGAATTGGGGATCGTTGCACCGATGTATAAGAAAATGATTCAAGACCATCAGTGTTTTAATGTACAGTATGTTTTAAATATGGGAATGAAACTGGCTCAGATTTAGTATTGATTGTTGGTATTTTGTTGTATGCTGCATTTACAGATTTTTAAAATGGCTCTTTTTTAATGGAAACACAAGGAACAAGATGTTCTCCAGTTGGAGCCACCATTCCCCTTCACTGTGAGTAACACAGTGCTCGGTGCTGTCGTGTTGATCAACCCTACACTGGGAATGTTTGAACAAATATATAAACATTTCAGAGTTGTCCAAGATGTGTTCTTTAGTGTCTTGTATTGAATTACTTGTTTATTTATTCACCTAAACAGTTTGTGTCATTGCCAGTTTGCAATCACTGAACATGTAACAAATCCATGTAATGATACTGCAATTTAGAGATTTGTAACAAAAATACACAGTTGAACTAAGTTCAAAGACCGCACAGAAAGAACCTCTACATCAGTCGTCCCATTCATCTTCATCGTCGTCTTCATCTCCACCGTCATCTTCACTTTCACCTGAAAGAAAGGATAAGTATAAACATACTGGACTTTCTTTGCCCTCTTCATCTCCACGTGGTCAAAAAAAACAAACCTTTTATTTAATGATTTGGTAAAAACTCTGATATTTACCAGAGGAATGAATGACTTTACTCCGTTTCTGCATGACCATCATGAGAGCACCAACGATGCCTTCACCTGATGATGTAGGTGTAGGTGGAGCTGAATCTGGGCTGTCCGTCACCTATGGGACACGAGGACAGCATTTTAACTTGAATATCCAAATGGCCTGCAGCATGACAACCAAGACCCATGTGCTTATATAATAAAATGTTACGGAGAAAAGGAAGTCGCTTTACATTTCTGAGCTTCTTCCCCAGTCGGATCTGATCCAGCAGAGCCCCCCTGCTGTCTCCTCCTTCGTCTGACGCTGGGGTAGGTGTTGAGGGAGGGGGTGGAAAATCTGAAGAAATAGAGGTTTGAGGAGGTGGAGGGGGCGGAGGAGGAGGTGGAGGAGGAGCTCCTCCACCACCTCCTCTGCTGGGAGTACAGGGGGCAGGAGGAGGTGGGACGCCTATTGAACGCTGTTGGCTGGATGGTGGCAGGGGAGGAGGTTGGTTGTAGGATAGTGAAGGTGAGGGCCTTGAGGATGGAGGTGGAGAGAAATGAGAAGGTGCTGGTGGCGGCGGTGGACCACCTCTGTTTGTTGGAGGAGGTGGGGGTGGCACGCCCCCACGTGCTGGAGCTGCCTGAGGAGGTGGAGGACCTCGCTGCGGCTGGCCTGGTATGGGAGGAAGGGGACCAGAACGGCCTCGTGGAGGTGGTGGGGTTGGGGCAGAGGGACTAGAGCCAGGCAGAGGAGGCAGGGCCCCTTGTCTGCCAGGTGGAGGTGGTGGAGGTCCAGCTGTTATAATACAATGGAAGGTATGCATTACAATTCAGCCCAAGCTTTAGACCTTTACAATAGCCTGTAGGGAGGAGTGAGACTGATAAAGAAATAAAGCTGTGTGAGTCTAACCTTTGTTCACCTCCCGTTTGACCGCCTCCATTCCACCAGACTGCTCGATGATATTATAGATGAGTTGAGAGGTCTGTTCATCCCTCATCTCAGCTTCTCCAATCCCAGCTTGGGAGAGCAGCTTACACAGGTCAGGGTCAAGATTGTTGGGATCCCAACCAACGTGAGTGACATGTCTGATATGAGGGAAAACAAAAGGGTACAGTGTAATACACTAGTAACTAGTAACACTGATGGAAATATTGTAAATCAACTGCTCAAGATTTTATTAAACTTAGATACCTGACATCAAGGCAAACTATTCATTGGCTCAAACACTCACTTAAACCCGCTGGGTGCTCCTATGTCTGCTTTGGAGATTTTGGGACCTTTTTTCTTGCTTTTCTTGTGCTTCTTTTCTTTGCTGCTCAGAAGCGAAGAAGAAGCAGGCGAAGGCATCGAGCGGTAGCGTGAGGACTGGATATCTGGATTCTGGATGTCCACTGTGGTCATTTGAAAAGATCCAGGGCTGCCAGGCGACACTTTAGGATGAGATACAGAGCACATGCAAGTTTCAGGCATCACTGGTGGCAGTAAATGTTAAATCAGACATATGTTAAGGTTTACTCACCTCTATCAGGTGGAAGGGGAGGTAAGGAACCTCTGTCTGCAGTAACAGGAAATGGGGAATAGGAAGTAAACATTTATTTTAATAGTTTGCCGCTGTTGAGCTACACTGCATTATACAGACAGGTGTTTCTGTTATTTAGCTTAGCCTCACTGATTTAAACAGGCTTGACAAAATAATACAAACACCAGTACAGTTCAGCAGCACCACAATTTTCCAAACTGATTATAAATCTGAAACACCTCTGTAAAATAATTTCAACAAAAGCTGATCATTACCACCTTCAGTGAAGGAGGATATAATGCAGGACTGTTGTATTTGACTGCTTTCGGTTTAGCTTGATGTACTTAAAAAAAAACTATGAAGTCATGAGGTTAATTGCTATCTCACCACTAGAAGGCAGGGGGCGCTGTTTCTTGTCTGTCAATAAAAAGAAAGTGGGAGAAACCATTTTGTCACTTGAAGTTACTTTGCATCGACATAATACAATAGTTCTGCAGCAAAAATACACTTAAAAACAATCATCTATTCATCACCATCATCATCATCATCATCATCCTTTATTAGCAGACTCAAGGTCAATGAAGGTATTATTTAAATGAGACCTAATTTATTAATTATCATTTATTAATCTATGACTATTATTCATACTTTTCTGTTAAATAGATACATAAATCTCTGTAGTGGGCTACCTGATAACGATTCACTTAGAAAATCAGATTTGGACAAAAACCTCATTAAAGTAGATTTCACTTATTTTCTTCCAGTATCATATTGCAAACAATGTTAGCCCAGCATGCTGTAGCTGCAATGGCTGCATTGCTATAAATTGTTGTATTAAAATGTGTTTCGTGTTCTCAAATTTATTATTATTATTAATAATAAATTGTGTCTGTGCCCAGTATGACCTAGACGGTTGTTCCTTTGGTTGATTTTTTCCTGGACAGCATGTTGGAAGGCTTCTGCTTCCCATTGATCAGAAAAGTTCAGTCCAACCTGACAGTCCTGCATCAAATGAATCAAATGAACATGAACTCAAATACACATCTCTAAAACGACAATTCAAAGATTTGTGGCCTTGTGATGATTTTAACACAAATAATTACAGGTCACCACATTACAACTAGACAGAAACAAAAGCTGCAGGAAGATGTTAAATAAGGGTATGCTTACGTCTGCAACAAAGGTATGAAAGTACGGCCGTGGGCATGAGTAGACAAATTGGTTGTAGATCTCCTGCTCCCAAACCTGCCTTCCTCCCTATGGAAAAGCATTGTTAATATTTCTCTCTGACTAATATTCCTGCATGATTTGAATCATCTTGTGTCAGACTTTTCAAAAGGGCAACATACACAGAGTGATTAGAGTATTATGTAGCCATGGAATTAAATAATGACTCCATGGTCTAAGAGGTTACCTTTAAATCAAACATCCGTAAGAAGTAAGAGCGGAGAGGGTTGTCTTTGACGAAACAGACTACTCCAGTGTGCTGCAAGCTCCACATGGATGGACTGTGAGGCAGAGCCATGAACAACTGTGCCACTGTAGTGGCCACGGACTAAACACAGACAACAGTTCAGTGGAGATAAGACACTTTCAGTTAAACCTGATGTTCTGTGGTGAGGATTCATTTCCTGGTTTGCTTGCATTTGTTCAGAAATCATCTTAAAGTGCTGTGATGCTCCTAAGTTGCCACTGTAGATGTACAAAATGTGAAGCTCATGACACTGGTTGTTTTGTTCTTATGCTGCTCTGGCACAACTGTAAGCAGATTAACTAAAAGAGTCAGAAACAAACCAACTTCTGCTCTACTGTCAGAATAGAAGCAACGACTGTGGCCAATTCTGACACTAGAGGAAGAAATGATTCAGCCATCATTTCCTGTTACAGCTACCTCTTTTCTAATGTTAGCAATTCATTTGAAACTGGATTTGTATAATCTTTTGGTAGATTCTTTAAGAAAAATGTCAAAATAAGACTTCATATTTACTTAGCTATCACAAATAAAAGGTAAGTAAATAAACCTACCAATAGTAGTTAAGAAAACTGTGAAACTAGTACAGTGTTGTTACTAGAGTTAAATATATAATGTAATTGCTCTCAGCTGTGTTCATAAAAAAATCAAGATATGAGGTTTAACCAAAAACAAGAGAAATCTTGACGGCTCAAACAATGTTAATGTTTAAGTGAATAACCAGAATAACCTGTACTATTTCGGATACATCCTGCTTTCACTTGCATAGTATATAATAAGCTCCTTACCACAGATCATACAAGCTAGGACAGACAGAGTAGAATGTCATTCCACAGTGGGCAAACCCTCCTTGGTCAGTTCAGAACTTACAGCACACCTTCTGCCCAGCAGCTCCTCCAGCTTCTCATTCTCCTGTGGGCTCAGCAAAGTGCTCTGGACACTCTCCATTTTAGCTTTAGATCCACGGCTCATGGTCGTCTGTTAAATCTCCTGGGTTATCTTAAATAAATGTGTACGGCATTTGAAAAAGCACCTTCTCTATACTGTCAGAATACTAAGCTCTAAAGTCAAGGAAGTTTCTCTTCTCTGTTTTGTGCACACATGTACTCAGAGCAGGAAACGGACAAACCGCACTTCTCTAAGCCCCGCTTTTCTTCTTTCTCTTAGATGCTGAGCACAAATGAACATGTTACTTCCATTTTCAGAGGGGGGGCAGTACACTGTTGCTCTTCTCCTGCAATGAGTACAATCGTTTTACCGTTTTACAGCTAAAGCAACTCAAAGTGTATGTACAAATGAAAGACATTTTATTGACAGACAACATTCAAATAATTTTAAAAATGTACAGGACAAATAATATATTTTAAGGATGAAAAAATTCCATTAATTTTACCCATACTGCTTCTGAGACATCATTTTTAACACTGGATTATTTTTATTCACAATGTTTACTTGGAGAAATGTAAAGTTGCATATTTTTTAATGTGACACAATAAATACAGTGGTGTGAAAAAGTGTTTGCCCCCTTACTGATTTCTTATCTTTTTGCATGTTTGTCACACTGTAATGTTTCAGATCGTCAAACAAATTTGTATATT